TTTGATTTGTAGAAAAAAGTTCCTTTGAAAATTGCAAAATTGGTGTTGCAAAATGGGCCATCTGTGGGGTTGCGCTTTTGGCAACGAAACTTCAACCACCGGGAAGTTTTCTTGGGAACCAACACAGTCCCGCAGGAACATCGAAAGTGGCAACTCAAAACGCGCCGTGCCTGTAAAAGAAGTCCAACAGAAAATTGCAATCTAGCAGGATTTTATGAAATTCAGTTTCGGTAATACTAGTCACTACACTGCACAACGGTACACACACTATTAGTCGCAAGACAACAAAATTCAAACAAAATTCAACTTTAAAACTTTAAAATTCTCAAATTCTTCAATCTTCAAATTGATTCTGTTTGAATGCTTCAGCGAAACTGATCGCGTAGGTGGTTAAGGAAGTGGTAATGACAGTACTGGCAACTACGCGAAAAATGTTGACTGGCACGCCGGCGCAAAGTGCTGAACTATCATGGTTGTTTTGTTTTGGAAATTGGTGAATTTCAGAGGGCGAAAAGTGGTGGAAAACGGCATTTAATCGAAAAATTTATATGGACAATATTGTTTGTTACGAGATTTTCTATAAGGTGAGCATAGTGTTAATCGAAAAAGCGGAAATCCTAGTACCAGTTCGTAGCGTAAAGCATTACCAAGAAAAATGTTTGTTACGAGATTTTCTCTAACGTGAGCATAGTCTTAATCGGCAAAGTAGCAATCCTAGAACCAGATCGTATTGTAAAGGTAATCCTTTACTCCAATACAAATATTGTTAGTAAATGGCCATTAAAATAAACCTAAAAAAAGTCATCAACATTTTCCAGTCAACCGAACTGAGCTACTGTGCCGGTGCGTTGGGTTGGCGCACCAAGTCATTCGGACAGCACTGCGTCAGCTCCTAAAAAAACCACTGAGATACCCAGCAGGCGTAGAGGACAGAGGAGAATAAATTCGCCGGGAGCATATGAGCTAGTGCGGTCCTGCGATACCTGCCATCAAAACTCAGTTCGCAATGTTATTACCACATAAAACGCGGCTTCAACTGCAGTCCGCACATGCAGGTCCCCACCACGCTCAAAGTCGTAAATTCGTCCCGCCGTGTCTACCCCGTCTGGCCGCTGCATTTTCAATGCAATTCTCTTACTACGTCCTGCCTTCGCTGACGGACTGCCAGTTTAGTTGATTTTCGCGAGAACCTGCCAAGTTCTCCATTTCCATTAACCAATCGGTTGCGGTCCGGTCCGATCCGTCGTGGTTCCGCGCGAAACTCTTCGTCTTGTCCTTTTAGCGCAACAGCGTCCGTCCTGCTGTTCGCCCAGTGCGTCACTTACATGCCTTCTGGTTCCTAGTTCTAGTGCTGATTGTTCACAGTTCCGGGTGGAATGGCGCCAGACTGTCCAGACTACGTTACGAAAATGGACATCAGCTCCAAGGCGTCCAGTTCCGCATCGAGCACGTCTTCCGCACCGCGAACGCCGCCAAATTGCGCGCGATGCCGCAACCACCGCAAAAAAATCACCCTCAAGGGCCACAAGCGGTACTGCATGTACCGCAACTGCAAATGCCAAAAGTGCCAATTGACCTCCGAACGGCAACGCGTGATGGCAATGCAGACGGCCCTGCGGAGGGCTCAGGCTCAGGATGAGGCCCTGCTGAAGAACGGCACTATTGACATCAACATGCTGTCGACGCCGCAAAAGACCGAAAGCCCCATTCATAACATTGACCGAGCCAATTTGGACTGTGATTCTTCGGCTTCGTCCCAGTACTCGAATCCGCCGGTTGCCATCAGCAGAAAGTCGGAAATGTCTCCAGTTCTTGCGGTTCCTGCTACCAGCACGTCCATGCCTGTTGGAGTGGCCAACGAAGTGCTTTCCTACGACTACAAAGGCAAGTTTTTATCTCTTTTATTGCCATTGCGTAAGTCTTCGAATGTTGTTGAACCAGCAAGCCGGCGTTTGTTTACGTTGGCACGGCCTGCGGTGTTTGCAGCAGGTTCTAATGAAGACTTGCCATTATGTGTCTTTTAACGTCGAGATGCACTTTAGTCGGCGTGAAAATGTGTCTCTTTCACCTAATCATCGTTAATTGACTCATTTTCCATGTGCGCACTATTACTCAATTCTAGGCGTGTGTCACACTGTGTTGGGTTGCGCTATTGAGTTGTTCCCGCTCTCTGAGTTAACGAGTTATAACTCATCGGTTCATTAGTTATGTCATTTATTAAAGCTTTACGCGGCTCGAGACTGGAATTTTCACATCTAAAAAATCATTTTTTCTGAGTAACGTTTTACTACTTTGCTCAAATAACTTAAAAAAGTAATCTAGGTTTACCCACCAGAACAATTGAGTTCAAAGAAAGTCGACGAGTGTTCTTGTTAAATCGATCTTTTAATTTTTTTGCATAATGGATTCAGTCTGCCAGCATTTTACAGTAAAACGTTAGGAAAAACGCGGTTTTTCGGTTTCTTAGACAGTGTTGTTTAGAAATATTGACCT